AGTTTCTCGTCCCGTCACACATGCAATTCAAACCTCTTTCCGCACGGGGCGCACCCGTGGCAAATACGCTGCACGTGCTCTGGGTTGCCAGCATTGATTGCTAGTGCCGACAGCGCGCTACCTAAGTGTGAGGAGCGCAAAAAGAATGGTTTCACACTCTCCCACCCTGTCTCAAGGGAAGAAATGTATCAATGATATATCAATACGAGTTCAACACATTGCAAATCACCTACTTTGAAAGCAGCTGTGGAGAGATTCTGGCTGCACTGACAGCTTTGCATTGGAGTACTCGGATGAGACTGAAAGAAAAACGTCGCACTGCAACTCAAAAAGAGACTGCCGACCCGGTCCGCACAATAGAACCCAGCGGAGAAAAACACCACTAGACGACGGATGGCCCGAGAGCGTCGAGGAGCACGGTCTTCTGTTGTTAGTATTGAGACACTATATTACAAGACAATATATTCAAGATCTATTATAGGCAGACGAGAAGAGTAGTATCAAGACAATATTTTACAAGTACAAGACAATAGTTTGCATCGTATCCTTCGTATAGTTTTTCACACACAGAACCTTTTACACACAGACGTTTTTCCACACAGAAGTTTTTACACACAGAAGCTTTTACACACAGAGGCTTTTACACACAGACGCTTTCACACACAGACGCTTTTACACACAGACACTTTTACACACAGAGGCTTTTACACACAGGCGCTTTTACACACAGACACTTTTACACACAGATGCTTTTACACACAGAAGCTTTTACACACAGAGAGTTTTACACACAGACGCTTTTACACACAGACGCGTGTACACACAGACGCGTGTACACACAGACGCGTGTACACACATGCTTTTACACACAGGCACGTTTACACACAGGGTTACCACGGAGGTGCTCAATTCGCAATTTTACCTCAGCTTCTGGCGATCGAACCTCATTTCGTGCGAAAGGGTTGCCGCGGACATCTCAAAATCGCAATTTTACCTCAGTTTTTGGCGATCGAACCTCATTTCATGCGAAAAGGTTGCCGCCGAGGTTGTAAAATCCCAATTTTACTTCAGCTTTGGCGATCGAACCTCATTTCGTGCGAAAGGGTTGCCGCAGAAGTTGTGAAACCGCAATTTTACCTCAGTTTCTGGCGATCGAACCTCATTTCGTGCCAAAGGGTTGCCGCCGAGGTTCTAAAATCGCAATTTTACTCCAGTTTTTGGCGATCGAACCTCATTTCGTGCGAAACGGTTGCCGCCGAGGTTGTAAAATCCCAATTTTACTTCAGTTTTGGGCGATCGAACCTCGTTTCGTGCGAAAGGATTGCGTTTCGTGCCGTCTCGTTGGCACTGCCCCGCGCCTTCAAGAGAGAAATAGAAACGAAGGAGAGAGCAAGAGGGCAAGAGAGCAAGAGGGCAAGAGAGAATGTGAATATGTGAAGATGTGAAGATGTGAAGATGAGAAGATGTGACGATGAGAAGATGTGAAGATGTGAAGATGTGAAGATGTCAAGATGAGAAGATGTGAAGATGTGATGTGAAGATGAGAAGATGTGAAGATATGAGGATGTGAAGATGTGAGGATGTGATGAGGATGTGAAGATGTGAAGATGTGAAGATGTGAGGATGTGAAGATGTGAAGATGTGAAGATGTGAAGATGTGAAGATGAGAAGATGTGAAGATGTGAAGATGAGAAGATGTGATGTGAAGATGGGAAGATGTGAAGATGTGATGTGAAGATGAGAAGATGTGAAGATGAGAAGATGTGAAGATGAGAAGATGTGAAGATGTGAAGATGAGAAGATGTGAAGATGTGAGGATGTGATGAGGATGTGAAAATGTTTGACAGACCCCCACTATTAGAAGAACCCTTCGCTCAGACGCTCTCGGAATAAAACACCTGCCTAAGGTCGCTTCACCAGGAGGTGTGCCGACAGGGACAGGACCCTGCACGGCCGCTACTGCCACCTCTGCCACACTGAAACCATCTAAACCAGGGGCCTGTTGCAAAATTGAGGGAAGAATGGGAAGATTCAAAACCATGCCACGGATCACCAGAGTTCTTCGTCATTCTCGTGGGAACTGAGTTGCGGTGAAGTGACATTGAAGGGAAAACCCCAGCTCCACACTGAAATGCCTGACCTGCGGTAGGGCAGCAGTGGCTCGCCGCACAGGCATGTCTGAGAGACCAGAACCCAGGTTCTTCCTCAGTCGAGCTGGCTTGGAGCAAAGAAAGAACAAGTATTCTCTGGTAAATGTTCAACTCAAAACTGGTCATCGTAAGTCATTCTCAACGTGTTCCCTTCAACTCAGCAACGCCCAGCAACGCCTTTGCCCTTTTCTCAGCTATTTTTGGTATATTTGTTTGTATTACTGTATATATTTTATGTTATATTTTATATATTGCATATTTTACCATATATATTATATATTTTATATTATATATCATATACTATATATTATATACTATGTATTATATACTATGTATTGTATGATATATATATATACATGTATTTATATATATACATACACATACACATACACATACATACACATATACATATACATATACATAGACATATACATATACATATACATATATATAATATATAATATCGATATATTGTATTTGTTGAGATTTGTTGAGATTCGTTTATCTTTGTTTGGTTTATTGATATGTGTTTATTCCTTTGTTTGTTCACAGTTTGGCTGTGGCGGCTGTGGACCTGGGATCCCAATCTTTCTGCGTAGCTGATCAGCTGCCCAGTCTCGGTCCTGGCTGGACACGGCTGGACACTGAACCAGCTCAGCCTTGCAGTCAGCTTGCTGAGAATATGTGAGCGACGCTGTGAGCGATATGTGGTGAAACAAAACATGCTGAATATCTGGGAATATGTGAGAATATGTGACTAGTTGAGTTCCTTCGCAGCAGTGTGCAACTTTGGGACTACGGAGTGTTCCTGAAGTTGTGTCTTGCTTATTAAAGCCTGCAGAAACTTTTGAGAAGCCACGGAAACATGACCGGCTGACCATTTCCGTATCATGGCTGTAGTTCATGGCCCGAAGCACTCCGCACAACTTTACACAGGGGCAAGTTTCACCCAGTGCAGTGAGACCAAAGAACTCTCCCGGAACCGTGCAGCTTTCAGGCATGGCAATAAAGATGTGCACCAACGTTTTTCCGGCAAACTGCGATGCAACATGGCTATCCATTCACATAAGTATCGCAAGCAAGATTTACCAGCTGTACCAGCTTTGCGATTGCATTGTGTCCTCTTGCAGTTGGTTAGTTGGCAAAGTATTGCAATTGTCAGCTCTTATCACACAGAGACATCCCAACAATTTTGAACATGTGGAATCACAGCATGGCATGACGCAACGCGCTTCCCTGTACAAAAGTGCAGGCATAGGCAGAGCAGATTTCTGTTTTTCATTATCTTACCTCCAACATCAGATTGAAACTCTCGCGGTGAAACGCCCGTGTCATTTGCTACAAGGGTGAAGCTCGCTGCAAGGCTGAAATCGGACAGAAATCCGTTGCATCCAACAACTGCTAGAGTTCACCTGTGCACCCAGAACTGCTGTTTGAACCACCCATCATCTGAACACCAACATAACCACCAAGGACTCACAAAAAGAAAAAGTGATTCTATCTTGTTTCTAAACCGTCAAGATATCCATGGGTCTCCATACACGCCTTTTTCCTGAATGCAACTTATGCTTTCTACTTTACTTGGAACCACCCTTTTTATATACGGTGTCCGTCAACCAGGCGGCCTCACTGCCAGTCGCAAACACGCGCCTCGGTTTGAGGCACAGGCAAAGAAAGGACCTGGGTTTGTTCTTCTCCAAGGCACATCGTGGCACATCCTGAAAATGTTTATTTCATTTATTTCAAAGGTACTTCAGAAAGCATATTTCAAAGGTATGTCAAAGGCACAGTACTTCATTGTGTAAATCAATCTTGGTTAAGTCATGTTTCAGGCAGCCCAATCGGGAAATTTTATGAAAAGGATGGAAGGGCCATCGTGAATCACATGTGCGATCGACAGGCCTGAAGATTGGTGCAGCATCAGCACGAAACAAGTGTGCAGTGCATTTTGCTCAGCTAGTGCAGCGTCTGAACGTTAGGAGGCGCTGAAAATACCGATGATTTTGGGTTTCACAGATGCTGCACAGAAGACATCAGAAGACTGAGTAAAAGGCCGCAGTGGCTTTGTTGTGAAGTGAGAAAAAGAATGCCAATCTGTTTGGGACTGTCTTCTTGGTGCTGGATGTGTAGTTCGCTCTATTTTGTTTTTGCACTTTGGAGGTTTGGAGAATGTGTGAGGGAGGCACCATCGTATTTGCTCGACTCGCACAAGGGTTTCCCTCGCACTCTGTTTAATGTGCGGGAGGGCTCTTGCTGTCTCCCAGCTCCCGTTTAGTCCTCATCCAAGCCAAAAGCCAACCTCCAATGCGCATTCGGCATTCTGAAAAGTCTTTCCCGTCGAGAGGCCCCAAGTTTGTGAACTTCCTACCTTTGCAACTTCGCTTGTGAAGTTCTGTCTTGAGGAAGCAGATTTTAGCATGCAGAAATTGTTTTGAAAGTTGGGGTCAGTGAAGGGTTTCTATGGCATATAATATGTATTTATAAATATATATATACTGTATATATAATATTATGCTTTGCATATCAGACATTGACAGGCCTACAATATCGCTTCATAAGACTTCATAAGACTTCATATCACTCACCACTAACCTGTCCATGTCCACCAGGCAAACGTCAGTTCAGTCTTCAGAACCAGCGCACGGATCACTTGCATCTAAAGGTTGTTGTCTGTTCTATGCTTTGACCATTCAAGTGTCCCCTTGGTCAAAAGACGCAAACTGGCACAAACGTCAACAGTGTCCAGCCAAAGGCGGATGCTCATCCATGGTGGCTGACTATTCCATGTTTCACCTGAAGCGTCCACTGGTACTGGGCATACTGGGCATCCTGACTTGGTCCCCCGGGGCATTAGCATGCGCATTGATCTGATGAACGGCCTGAAACAAAAGAGGCACGGATTTTCGAGTTAGACAGCGAGATACGGCGAGTTGTTTGCACTTTGTTTGCATGGAGAACACTCGAAGTTCTTTGCCATGAAGGTCCTTCAGAGTCATTCACCCCACAGGTTTCTCGCCTTCTTCCTCAAGATTGATTGCCTAGCTGACAACAGTGACTGCGACTGCGTTTGTCAGTTCGTTTCCTGAAGTACTTCTAGGTGACAAGAGTGGTATAGGAGTGGTCACATGTTCCAAGCAAACCAACCAATGTCGCATGAGTCTCGCTTTTGTGTTCTTTTCTCGTTCAAGGCTAAGGTCGTCTACAGGTCTCTCTTTCTTGATCTTTCTCGATCTTTCTCGTTTGGTTTTAGTCTTCTACTGACTTCATGTAGCTATGAGCATCCATTGGTTTTGTCATTTTATAATTTATGTGACGGCGGAAACACTGTGTGCCAGGCCTCGGGGTAGCCAGACATATCAAGCCGGGCAGGATTTCGGCCCAACTCTTTTTGTCTTTGCAAAATTCCTACGGCATTGGTGGATCTTCGATCGTGATGTTTGGCAGTGCAAACACAGGACAAGTCCAATGAAGCTTGGGAGTACCATCACCCGGAAAACGCAAACCGTTGGCAACAATAGTATTTGTTTGGTTCTTTCTGCTGCACAGAAGTGATTTAAGATTCTCTGCCTCTGAATAGAAGACACCGCCTATGATCCCGAACAAGAGTTCAGAGTTCAGTAGCTCCACACCAAACTCATGTTGCAAAGAAATACCAATCAAGGTGCACATAGATTCTCCGAGGAGTTTCCTGAGGTTTTAGCAGAGAAATTAGAATCTTGTATTGGGTCTGCTTTAGCTCCAAAAGTCCACGGTCTTTTCCCTGCCTCGCAAAAGCCTCAAGAAGATTTGCTCCACCCCAACTGCCAAGTCCTAGTTGCAGGTACCAATCTGTTTTTGATTTTGTTTCAATCAAATCCTGTATTGCGATATGTTTGTCGTGGTTTTGCTCACTGTCTGTTTTCAATTCGTCTGACTGACCATCAGGGCTGGACTGACCAGCTATTGTCTCACGGTTCTTCAATCTATATATGCCCCAAAAAATGACCCTCCAAAAGCTGCACGCACCATACTTGGCCACCTTGACGGCTCCTTCTCCCCACCTTCATACTTATTCCAGTAGGCTGATGTCTCCTCGTCAAAAATTTCACATTTTTGGTGCACCCTGTGGCCTTTGCCGAACTCAAAAGGTTTGTTTGTACAATTGTCGGATCCCAGATCCAAGAAATGTGTCCTGCAATCCTTTCTGCCTCGCTAGAAGAAAGTCTCGGTCCATCCCCAATGCCGAGTCAACGCGGATCTCAGTGTTGACCAGTTCCCATCAGTTTCCCATAGTTCCCATAGTTTCCCAGTTCGCTCCATGTAGAGAAGGCCGTTGGACCTAGCATAGCCTTGGGATGAGGCAGAGCCAGGGCGACAACTTGAAGGGTGCTTACGTCAGAACCGCAGCGACTTTACTACGTAATCTATACTATTTCACACGATTTTATACGATTTTATACTGCGTAATTTTGTGGCCATCCTGGGTTTCCACACTCTGCGCCCGATCGCTGGCAACTTGCCTTTGTGATGCCAGGTCAGTCTTGGTGCCGACCTCAGCGGACCCGCTGGCTCGAATCTTTGAATTTATAAATTGGGGTCATCTGTGTCAAGCACAAGCCTAGAGATAAGGGCAACGCAACTATCGCAGCAATGCGTCATTTAATGATGTTTGTTGTACGTGCAATGTCTGGGCAAAAGCTCAGTTCAAAATATTGAGTTACAAGTAGTACCCGGGCGAGCCGGGGGTGGAAGTTTCAAACTTGAAAGGCCTTTAGCCTATAGAGCTGCACAAAGACTGTGCCTATAGGTTGCTGGCAGGCCTTCTGTGTTTCGCAGCAACAAGTTCTTTACCGTTCATTCCGGCGCCATCTCTTTTGAAGGTTGGATCTTTTCTCATTTCATCTGGCCTCATCGCAACGCAGCTTCTCTTGGAAATTTCTCATTGTATCCCAATGTCGCCGCAGTCTGCGCCATTCAATTTCATCTCCTCTAACCTCATCTAATCTCATCTCATCTCACCTCGTGTCTTCTCTCCTTTTCTCAGCTCCTCTCAGCTGATCACAACTGTTCTCATCTCTTCTCATGTCACCCGAGCTTCTCTCATCTCTTCTCAGTTCATCTGAACTCTTCTCTTTTCAGCTCTTCTCAGCTTCTCCATTCTACGCAGCTCCTCTCAACTCATCTCTTCTCAGCTCTTCACTGCTCTTCTCAGCCTTGCGTCAGCTCCTTTCATCTCACCTCATTTTAGCACATCTTTTCTGGAGCACTCATGTGAAATCTTCTGACTCAAGGTGTTCGAACCCTTTCTCAATTTTTTAGTTACAGTTCATCTCATCTTCCGTCATTTTTCTTTCTTGACTTGCTTGACCACATGCTTCTGTCGTCCATCAAGCCTTCCCATCTCTTCTCATCTCATGCCAAGAAAAAACAAGAAAAGATTACACTGACCCAACAGTCAGGATTCGGCTAATGAAAGAGACGTGACGTGACACTGCAGGCAGTTCGCAACAACCTACCTGCGGCGTGAAAACGAAGCTTTCGGGCAAGACTTCCCTCAAAAAGTGAAAGTTGAAGATGTGAAAACCAAGCTTTAATGCGAGACTTTCCTCAAAAACTGGAAGTTGAAGATGTGAAAATGAAGCTTTCGTGAGTGCAAGACGTCCCTCAAAAAGTGAAAGTTGAAGATCTGAAAACGAAGCTTTCGTGCAAGACGTCCCTCAAAAAGTGAAAGGTGAAGATGTGAAAGCGAAGCTTTCGTGCAAGACGTCCCTCAAAAAGTGAAAGTTGAAGATCTGAAAACGACGCTTTCGTGCGAGACGATCCTCAAAAAGTGAAGGGTGAAGATGTGAAAGCGAAGCTTTCGTGCAATACGTCCCTCAAAAAGAAGATGGGAAAAATGAAGCTGTCGCGCTAGACGCTCCTCACAGACTTACAGACTGAAAGTTGAGGATGTGAAATAAACGAAGCTTTCGTGCAAGGCGTTCCTCAAAAACTGAAATTTGAAGATGTGAAAACGAAGCTTTCGTGCGAGACGTTTCTCAAAAACTGGAAGTTGAAGATGTGAAAACGACGCTTTCATGCGATATCAATTGCTGTGACTTTATTTGCCGTGACATCCATTCCTGTGACACCCATTGCTGTGACATCCATTGCTGTGACATCCATTGCTGTGACATCCATTACTGTGACGTCCATTGGCATGACATCCATTGATGTGACATCCATTGCTGTGACATCGTTGTTGTGACAATTATTGCTGTGACATCCCTTGCTGTGACATTCATGGCTGGGACGTCCATTGCTGTGACATCCATTGCTGTGCCAATCTTTGCTGTGGCATCCATTGCTGCGACAATCAATGGTGTGACATCCATTGCCGTGACATCCATTGCCGTTACATCCACTGCTGTGGACTTCCAAAGATCCGTATCACGGAAGTATAGACTTCTAAGCTTCCTGTGATCAACTACTGGGCACTCCCAGGCCGCAAACCAGAGCTACCACAACCTTGGAAGGACTGCAGGCGGAGCTGAGATCCTCTTGCAAAGCAGTAAAGACCACGCAAACTGTGCTGACTGTGCTGACAATGCTCATGGTTGGGCTGCCGTTGTGAATTTGAAATTCAGTCACCAATGACAGCCCCTTTGATTCTGAATCCACTTCCGACAAGGGACTAGGGTTGTGGTAAATGCTTCTAGCATCCAACATGTGTGGAAATCGCGTGAACTCACCAGCATCCGTTGTCGGCCAAGCTGCACTGGGATCTGTGTTTTCTCTCAGTTCTGAAAGCCACTTGTCTAAATTCTGGAAGGATCGCCTGCAGCTCGCCATGCAAAGCCATTGTTGGCGGATCTTTGCTTCATAGACCCGTCGAGTACTGTGACAGAGTGTCGTGAGCAGTGACAGGAACCCTGCCCGCAAGAGTGCTTTGGACTTCTTAAGCTGGCAGACTTGTCACAGAATACACATACTGTACTTAGATTACTTAAATTCCTTCAAGACTCTGGCCTTCCCAAAACCTCAAAAGCATGCCTGACTAAATGACAAAGCATCGCTCCAGGGCGCTGCCAACTCCCAATTTCCGCTGAGATTCCAACTCATTGGCGATGTCGAAGACCAAAAGAGCTCCGTCCGCTGCACGATAGTGGCTGGGCCGGGTGGGCCGCTGCAAAAGCTATTGTGGCTGGGTATAGCTGAAACAAGGACAATCAGTGACAATCAGAGTAATCAGATGACATGGATCTAAAACAAGAACTGGGAGCTAAGCGAAAAAAAAAGGCACAGCACTCTCCCAGTTCTTCCAAAACAGAGATGGGGTTGTGTCCATGGGCCCAAGCGCCAACGAATATCCTGCTGGAACAGAAGATAGAAATGTTGGTACCACATGTTACCACCGAGAAAAGCAGAGAGACGGGGCCCGAAATCAAGAAGCGTCAAGCTATTCAAAACATCTTAGTCTCAGACTGATAGTAGGGTTTCAGACAAGAGGTTTGTGATACATCAAAACGCTTTTAGAGGCACCCCCAAAGATTCTATCAAACTCGTGCTTCCACCAATGATCACCAATGCAGCTCTACAGTTTGCAAGATGTTCTGAAAGAAAGCAGTCAAGCGCAAAAAAGCTAAGACAGGGCGCTGACGAAGAGAGAGCGACCCGGGGAATTGTCCAATATTGAACGGGGGTGAGTCTTGAAATGGTTCTCAGCCCTTAGTCATATTTGTGTGTGTGTCTGTACAAAGAAATGCGCTCGTTTGTTCTTGTGTGTGTGTGTTCTTGTGTGTGTAGATGAAAAAATAAATGTATATATATATATATCAGAGGCCGCTGGGGAACACCGCAGTCACCGGCCAACGAAGACGCTGCAATGTTCCTGTGTTAACGTGTCTCCTTCTGTATATTTATATATTGTCCTGCCCCTAGGTGCATATAAGTCGCAGCTGGGGGGGACTTATGGTTTATTGCTGTTGGTTTATACTGTCAATGACCCCTGTGATTTTATATATATATATATCAATCAACGTTCCAAACGTGCATGTGATCACAAGCACTACAACCGAACTGCATGCAGAGCACCCTTTTCTCTCCCCAGCGACGTGGGTAGAACGGGGAGTTGATCAATCACATGGTTCTGTCTGCTGGTCGATCCACCAGATGGAATGACAGACCCTGGATGAGATGCCTCTGGATCTGAGGCCTGTTGATATCACAAAAATTCAAGGGCCTGATGATCACAGGCGAAATTGATCAAATACATAAATCGAAAATAAAATCATCGCAAATCAAAAAGAATCCCCGCTCACATGACCAGATCATCACTTCACCCAAGCGCTTCAAGAGCAGCCAAGATCCCGAGCTGCAGCGCCAGCGCAGTAGCGAGCACAGCGCGAAGATCCAGCGCAGAGCCACATCGCGCGTAGAGAATGCTGCATAGGCCTCAATCGGAGGAAAAACTGGTCAGAGCATGGCAAATAAACGAGTGGGTTGGCTCCCAACCCACCCCGGATAACTAGGGTGGGCTGGGTGGGAGATCAAATTGGCCAGTCTGGATCGATCTTGAGCCAAAATGGCATAAGGTTCGAGCGACCTCATGTCATCATGGCAAAGGGTGAACACCCTTGACTCATCAGATCAAATAAAATAAATAAAGACTGCAACATGTTGAACAACATGTCAAGCAATGATCAATGCAAATCACATCACTGAAATACAAGCAGCAACATGTTGAACAACATGTCATGCACAAATCAAAGTAGATCGCAATGCAGAGAAAAGGGAAGAACAGTTAGGTTGAAAGAACTAGCGATTGACCCACTTATCCCAACCTACCAGACCGATGATAAGTGAACCAATCAACGTTCCAAACGTGCATGTGATCACAAGCACTACAACCGAACTGCATGCAGAGCACCCTTTTCTCTCCCCAGCGACGTGGGTAGAACGGGGAGTTGATCAATCACATGGTTCTGTCTGCTGGTCGATCCACCAGATGGAATGACAGACCCTGGATGAGATGCCTCTGGATCTGAGGCCTGTTGATATCACAAAAATTCAAGGGCCTGATGATCACAGGCGAAATTGATCAAATACATAAATCGAAAATAAAATCATCGCAAATCAAAAAGAATCCCCGCTCACATGACCAGATCATCACTTCACCCACGCTGTCACAAACTAGGAAAAATTGGATCGACCGTCTTCCAACCTAATCTAGCGCCCACCTGCATCCGATCTCTGGACGGGTGATCGGCCGGGTTGGCATCTGTTGGAACTCGGTCTATATACAACTGAACCTTGAGCTCCAGAGCTATGTTCCAGAATACGCTTACCAGCTCGCACAAATCTTCACGAGCTGAGTATCCTTTCACTAGAGCTCCCTGTACGGGTTCAGAGTCAACTAACAACAAAGACCAGGATCCTGCCAGCCTCTCAGAAAACGTGCGCAGAGCGACCACCGTAGCAAAGAGCTCCACCATCGCGATCTGCGACTTCCTCGGAATCCACTTTTCAATGAGGGAGAACTCGACAGCCGCTCCAAACTGCAATGGCTGAGCACCTTTCTGAAAAAGAACGCCCCCGATCCACGGTAGAGTGGGGGATCCCTTGGAACCATCTGGGAAGCTGCCGTCAGTGAAGATCACAAAGTCCGGCGTTCTTGGCTTGGCGAACTCAATGGGCCGTGGTGGCCCTTCCTTGATCAACCACAACCATTGCTGCAGCGAGATCACCAGCGCCTTGTTGAGCTTGGTGTGGTTCATCTTGGAGCATTGGCGTTCAGAAAGCGAACGCAGGAAAGCTCTCCCGATCTTCCCCCAGAGCTGTGACGCGCCAAACATGAGCTTGCCGCGAAGTTTCCCTGCCTGACCCGGCGGAAAGACCTGGCACTCCAAGATGGAAGAGATCTCTTCTTCCAGTTCCGACTTCCGCGACGGCTTGATCTTCAGCAACATATCGTTGAGGTCGTAGGTGACACCGAGGATCGTGGGGTCGCTACACTGCTGCAACTTCTTCGGGTCGAACTGCGCCCCCAACCAAAGATGCACTTTTTGAGCGACCTCAAACGCAGAAGAGCAAGTGGTTGACGGTTCGAAGCCGTACTTGTCATCATAGAAATTGAAGGCTGCCACCAAAAAGATTCTCCTCAGAACGTCCGTGATGGCGGCTGATCTTCGATTGTAGTTGTAGACCGCCGACACCAGACCGAAGGAGTGACCGATCATGACGAAGAAGGAGACCTTACCAGTGGAAGGCTCACGGAGCGATATCACACTCCACCTTCTGTGATCCGGCTTGACACCGATCTGGCGGTAAGCCTTTCGTTCATCTAGGACCCAACCTTCGATCTTCTCGTCCTTGTCGACATGAGAACGCAACCAACGAAGAGCCGCCACGTTGACATCTGTTGATGGAAGCTCGATCTTCTCTGTGATCGTAGTGGCCATGTTGACGCCATTGACCGTGGCGCTGTCCACTCCACGAACTTTATTCTTTTGAACCACTTCAAATCTTTGTGTGGGGATCCATTGCTCAGTGCCCAAAAATGCGCTGACCTCATCCCTGGAGAACATCGGGCCGACTGTGACCCCTTCCTCAACGTCTTCCATAGTGGCTGCCCAGATCTTTTCAGTATTCTCCGTGACCTCACATTTCTTGACATTGCGGACTACCTTGTTGAAAAATTCCCAGGCCCTGTCCGACAACTCATGGACGGAGATCCCGTCGTCATGAACAGGAAGAGCAGGCCACCTGTAACTGCGCTGAATGGCACCCACGATTGAAAAACCGTGGAGCAATGCCGCCGGCAGCTGCGTGTCGATGCAGCGAGCGGCAGTCAGCATTTCTTGCCAGAGCGCGACATGGGTGCATTGGCCCAAAACTAAGGGCTGCCCGTCAGGTTGACCGCGAAGAAGGCGCCGCAGGTGAGGATCACTAACCTGTCGCAACCACTGATCAGTGACGGGAAGCAGCTCGTGAGCTCGAGCTTCCCAAAACCGGAGAGCTCCTGCACGGTGCCCAAGCACGAACTGTGGCTGCGATGATACCAAATTGAGAACTTCTTGAAGGTCGGGGTCAAGGGCAGGATCCATTGTGAACGGATGAATCACGTGCAGAGCCGCCTGCACTGCTTGACCCGGTTCCATCTCGGTGGCTAAGATCGGCGGCAATGCCGATCGCTTCAGTTGATAGCCCGCCGAGTTGGCTTTTTCAGCTGTGATCCTTTGCTTGTGGATCTTCCATGGAACTTCTTGGCCCACCGGGCGTTTGCGCTCAGCAGCAGGGGTGACCATCTGAAATGTAGCCGCCAAAGGATCCATGCCTGTTGCGGCGATCGCCTGTGCCCAAACGCTGCACAGAGCGGATGGATATACCTGCGCTAAGCGCGTCTTGACCTTCTGGCCCTCGTAGAGCACTGTGCCGACCAGTGGCTCATGAGAATGTGGCCGTTCAGCTTGGTCGCAAAGCAGAGCCAGTTCCCGTAGGTCGACGTTGGAGAGCACCGCTGTCGGCTTCTTGTGGGGGGAGCCAAACCGGCACATGTCGAGCCTGAACATCTTGGCCGTGGACAGAGCCGCCAACTCGACCATAGGTGGCATTTCCCAAAGAAAGGAGCTGGCAGGGTTCTCAACCGACCAGCCGAGACCACTTGCGTGGAGCAACCGCACCCACTGCACAGTGAGGTGCATGAACTCATGGCCCAACTGCAGTTTGGCCTGGTCTCTTGGAGCAAGACCAGGGAGCCCCCACAAATGCCTGCGATCGCGTAGGGGCGGTGGACCCCCATCAGCCTTCCGAGCAATGCTGAAGGAAGAGCAAGGTGTGCCAAAATGAATAAAAACAATCACCTTGGCCCTAATCAGCTTGACAACGTGCTGCTGAACTTGTGGCTCCAAAATGTCCACGGAGATTTGTACGAACTGGTTCGTGTTGATCTCAATGGGTGGCAAGATCTGCATGCCGCGCGCGCTGATTGCTTGCGAGAGCCCGGCTTCACCAGCAAAAACTTCCAAAAATGCAGGCCCGATCGGCACTACCATTGAGCCCCAAAACGGCCGAGAGAGGACTGTCCGAGCGGCAAGCTCTTCATTCGCCCCTCCCTCCGTTTGGGACGTCTTGGAACAAGTCTGGCTTCAATGATTGCCCACCATCGGGTGAGCAGCACCGCAGACCATGCATTGGTGTTTGAACCGGCATTTCTCCGCCAGAGCGCAGCCCATTGAAGAATTGAAGTAATGGCACCGCTTGGGCCCGGAGACCGAGGAGGCTGCCTGAGAGATGAGCTTCCATTCGGACTCAGGGATCCGCTTGTCTTTGTCGATCTTGGAGTCCATGTCCTTTTTCTTATCGAACTGATCTTTCTTCACCTGCTTGATGTCTTTGGTGTCGACCGCACCACCCTTCTTGTTGCGCCGCTTGCGCTGGCGGCGGCTTGGGGTGGAAGGCTTGTCCTGGTTCTCTACCACTCGATCTTGAGGATCATGTGGTTCAGGTTTCTCGTGATCCACCTTCGCCAGGACAGCCTTTGTGCGAGCATCGTTCCAAAGGTACTTGTGGTTGTTGAGGACCTCCAAGAGCGCAGCTTCAAAAGTGCCATAGAGCTCGCGTTGTTCAGCCTGGAGCCGGTGCACTTTCTTGCGGACCAGCGAGTCGGCTGCCAGGAGATAAGGAAGACCTGGGCACTCTGCTTTGAACTGCTCGAGCTCCTGCATGTATTTCAAAGGCCCTGCCGCACGTGAATACGTGCAAATGTTCAAAAACTCCAGAGCCATAAACAGCGCATGAACTCGATGAAGCAGGGTCTGCACGTCTGTCACCTGATCAGGTTCTTCGGCTTTGGAGATCGTCAAGAGATCCTCAGCGTTCTTCGTCAGACCTGACTTCTGAACAATGCTATCCGCCCTGGTGCGGATCTCTGCCACGGCATAAAATGGAACCATGCCGTGAACAAGGAAATCTCTGCTGAGCTTCTCAACGAACTTCTTGTGCGGCTCCTTGGCATCCAGGAGGATCACGTCGGGGTGAGCCGTCACGAACCTGGAGCGGAATTCCGCGTGGTCTTCTTGGGCCATCTCGGGAACCTTGTTCGGGTCCTCCTCCATACGAGCTCTTCTCGTGGCGAACTGGCCTTGCAGCGCGTGACACGAATGCCACACGGCTGCCAGCTGCATCAGCGATAGCTCCTGTGCCGCGGCGTTCGCCCCAAGAGCATCAGTTGGAAGCAAGGTCTGGAGAGACGATTTCACAGGACCTGCCGCATCGCCGAGCATGGCGAAAACTTCAACGGATAAGAGCCCGGCGTCCGCCGATGCCCTGCACAAATCTGAGCTCAGCCCCAGTCTGCCAAAGATCTGGCGAAGGGCGATCTTAGGTGTATGCGCCTCATCGACATACACCGTGCGATCGACCATGCTGGCGAAAAGAAAAAGACCTACGGAAAACTCTTGAGCCTGCAAAAACTTGAATCCAAATACAATCACTGGGCGCGGCCTGATCAAGCCGTCAGCATATGAACAAACGGGAACCCATTGTCGCCCGTGATTTCACTGCGTTTTTCTTGGCTATATGTCAGCACAATTTTGCTTTTGATTTGCACAACTGGCAGATCATGCCAGGCGCATGCGGACCTACTGAAACAGCATCTGACATCTTCAGTCGGCTGCAAATCGATGCACTAGAGGAAAAACTAGGATCAAAAATATGACATCTAAAATCCGCAGAATCAAAAGAGCTGGCTGACAGGGATGCTTTGACTATGAACTCTCTGACAACAGGTCCTTGAACCTCCTCGTCCTCCTCCTCGATCACGAACTGTTTGGAGTCAGGAACCCACTCATCGCGGAGCTTCGAGGCCATGTCTTTAACCATCGCCACTGAGAGCTCCTTGCGGCTTCTGGCATACTTGAGCACCAGCTGCTTGGGGTCTTTCCAATTGGCCTGCAAGCCCACGATCTTGTCATCGACCTGAGCTTTGACGGCCTCTGAGAGCATGGTCACCCTCATCGAGTGCCATGTGACCTCTTGCACCGCCTTTTCAGCCATCTCCAGTTCGTTGAGCTGCACGAGGTTCAAAACCTTCGCCTCCATGAGGCCCAGCAAAAAGAAACTTTTCAGCCAGGAAAGACTACGAGAGTAGGTGATGGGGGCCTCAGTGAACTCCTTCTCATTCTTGAGCTCCCATATAAAATAATCCCTGTCAGAAATCATCGGTTGAAAAAGATCCCAACCGATCTTCAGCCACTCAATTCCGGAGAGGGAGCAATTCGGCACAGCGAAACGTGTGCCTCTCCTCTTCCGCTCGACCTTGGTTTGCCAAACCACGCCGAGCAGGGCATCACCTGACATTTCCAGGGACGATGGAGCAACGTGTACGCCATCATCGAACCTGAGGGATGCAAAGATCAAAATGAGGGCCCACCATGCCGTGATCGCGGCGGCGGTCTTGCCCTGGTTAACGAGCCGGGGGACCAACGCTTCCAGAGCCAGCACCAACTGCGGCGGCAGTGGAACGGCCTCTTTGAGCTCCTTGCCCTTCTCAAGGTGCACCTGGTCGATCACAGCCTTGAGGCGCGCTTCGCCCAGATCGGGGCAAAACATCGCCAGGCGCTTGCAGATCCAGCCCACCGCGTATTTGAACGATGGGAGCACTGCCGGCCCACAACCCTGATCCTTCAAGTGCAGAGCGTAGCGCATCACTGCGACGATCGTGGGCGGGTAAACCCGAAGACCGTGAGAAGTCGCCCACTCGTCGAACTTTTCCCAATGCCTCACGTTCTGCCTGATCGTTCTGAAGCCGCCTGCTTCAAAAGCTAACTGCTTGAGACGATCTGCCTCAGCCGGTGCCAGACCAATGCAACGTGAGGGATCATTCACGCCTGCGCTGGCCCCAGCGCGCTCACAGATCTGTTTGAGCCGCAGGCCCCACCTCTTCCGCTCCAAATTCTCGGAGTCCTGGATAGATGGGATGACTTCTGTAGAGCCAGCACCTCCTGGCTTCTTACCGACCTGCAAAGGCACGGGAGCCCGGTGCACCACGTGGTCCAGCGAGCGCTTGCCACCAGTCCGCGGCGGCTCAGCTGACCCGTAGCCAAGATCAGTGGCTATCTCCTCCTGCACCCGCTTAGCTGAGCGGGACACCATGTCTGCCAGCAGGTTGACCATGTCCAGCCGCAGCAGAGCCGCGTTGATCACCTGGTCATCGGCGGTCGGAGCCGGTAAGAAAGATGAGAACTTTTCATCAGGAGATGCAGAATCATCATCTGACATGGCGAGCCAAAACTCAACTCGATCGAGTCCCACTTCTTTGAGGACTGACCGAAAAGTGTCATCAAAAATCGGGAGACACAAAAACCTATGAATAGATCTATCCATGGTGAGCTAGGCCTAGCGCAAAACCCTCAATGCCACTTGATCCAAGAGCTGAGGTCCCGTTGCGATCTCCCATGCAACGGCGCGCAGATCTGAGGATCTCGCCTGCAGAGCCGGCAACAGGGCAATGATCAACCCCGTCGGACCCGCAGGATAGCCGGGATCTGGCCCCGTGTGAGTAGATCACTCAAACACGCCAATCAAATAAATAATCAATGATCACAATCCCTCATCCAAAATCCATCCATCAATCGATCACATCGAAAAATGTATCAAATTTTATCACATTAAATCAGATCCAAATCATCAAGTAAAATCCAGATCAAATCAAATCAAATCAGATCAGCTCACATCAAATCAAATAAATCACGAGCATTTACGGGTATAATATCACGAGATCAACAATCTTATATCAGGATAATAATGGGGGGGAACCAAGCAGAGGGGAAACAACGACCCAGGAGTGATCAACCCTGTCATGTTGCTTCACATCACCCTCGCTCCCCCACTACCGGGTATGATCAACCCGTGAAAGATCGAGCACTGGGAAAAAGACGGCTGAGCGGCGGGACATGATCAGTACCCGGTCGCCGAGTTCTCTTTTTCACTTCCCGCATCGGAAAAGTCGCGATGCTCCAATGGAAAAGATCTGTCACAAAAACCACCTGCATATTGCAAGTTAAAAATCGATCGACAGCAAAAGATCAGCGGCTGTCGAACACAACTCTCGCCTCTTCTGTAGACCTCCACAAGAGCGATGAGCGCCTAGACGTCAGATGGCTTCTCAGAAGCTGATCCCGGCGTCGCTGGCTTCAATGCCGCCGGTGTAGAGCTCGGAGTGGTGTTCTGAACCGTCTCAACCGGCGCTGTGAACACGGGCGCGGGGGTGCTGTCAGGCACCCTAGACGGATGAACCGCCGCCCCCTTGAATTCAGGCTCCACTTCCTCGATCGTGGCCGTGGAAGTGTTGTACACACGATTGGCCATCGTTTCTGCGAAGATCTGAGGCGTGAGCAAGGATGTGGACCTTGCAAACCTTCGATCCATCCTGGCACGATCACGATCATCGTTGACAGCATGGCCTCCTTCTCCTTGGTTGGTATGTCGAACCTGGAGCGATCGCTCGTTGAGCTCAAGCCCCATCTGCTTGTTCACGGAGACCAAAGTGCCCTCGCCATGTGAGCTGCTAGGAACGTCCGTCATCTCAGCCTGACCAGATAGCCATGCGCCCGCTGTCAGAGCTGGAGGCCCTGATGGAGCTGGTGTCGATGTGGCATGCTGCATTTCTGCGAGAGCTGCACTGGGGACGATCTCAGACTCCCTCTCCAACAGCTTCGACCTGGATTGAAGGTGGAAATTGCCCTGATCCAGGTCCTCCGCAAAGATGACCAAGCTGCCGACCTGGCTCTCATCCTCTGCAACGGAGCTTGACCACCAGCCTTCATGGATGGCTGCCAGCTGAGCGAACTGCTCCGTCTGTTCCGGACCTTCTACTCTAGCTCTGTTCTCGCGGACCGAAGTGATGGTCCTGATCAGAGTGGGCCCTGAAATGTGTGACACCGTGAGCCACGTACCAGGCACTGAAGTTCTCGAGCACTTCAAGTCGATACGATTGTTGGCATCCCGGTAGCGGAACTCGAGGCGATCTGCATCGTTGCCCACTGCATCACTGGAGGCTCTGTTGCACACTCGGAGCTCAAACCTCGAGCGAGCTGAGTCACCAGCAACGACCGCACCTCCAGGGCCAACTGAGTAAGTTCGCCCTCCACACTCAAAGCTTAGGATGGAGACCCTCCATCCAATGAAGACGGCGATCACCACGGAGAGCCGGGTCTTGCCCTGATTGGCTTCTCGGACAAAGAGCTCGTCCACGAACTGCTGCTGCACAGTCATGTCGGTGTCGGAGCGATAGCCCCTGAGAATCCAATGGAACAAAATTTCATTGCCGTTGTAGACCTTCACATCAGCATAAGATGCCGACGTGTCTCTCAACATGGGCCATGAAAAAGGCTGGAAGGCCGGGTGTGAAAGTGCACGAGCTGTGCTCTCGTCCCACCCAGCGCAAGGATTGCCAGTGTTGCTCTCGATCGAGATGGCGATCACCACCTTGATACCATCCAAGGTGTAGTTGCCGAAGAGAGCCACATGGAACCCCGAGTTGGGTGGCATGACCTGATCACGCTCGGTCATGACGTTGATTGAACTGGCCGCATTGCTCATGATCTCGGAGACCAACCACGACTGGAACGGCGACACAATGCGATCGTCCCTTTTATCCACCACGATGATGGATTGATCTTCATCATGGGTTGCGTCTGTGATGGCCTCCAAGAACCTAGGCATCTGAACTTCATAAGGGTTGTGTGCATTCGACCCTGCCCCATAGCCACCAGAACTGTAGGCTGGAGTCCAACCACGACCTCCTTGTCCACCTTGACCTCTGCGGCCTTGATCGTAGCCTCGCTGCGAGTTGCGGGACATGGCACGAACAGGCGGATGAGATCGAGGAGCTAGGGGGGAACTGCCCAGGCCCGAGATCAAATTGGCCAGTCTGGATCGATCTTGAGCCAAAATGGCATAAGGTTCGAGCGACCTCATGTCATCATGGCAAAGGGTGAACACCCTTGACTCATCAGATCAAATAAAATAAATAAAGACTGCAACATGTTGAACAACATGTCAAGCAATGATCAATGCAAATCACATCACTGAAATACAAGCAGCAACATGTTGAACAACATGTCATGCACAAATCAAAGTAGATCGCAATGCAGAGAAAAGGGAAGAACAGTTAGGTTGAAAGAACTAGCGATTGACCCACTTATCCCAACCTACCAGACCGATGATAAGTGAACATATATATGTAGAGTAATTATATACGTTTAGTCATCGTGTCGTTTGGTCTGTGTTTTGCGCGTACGGTGCATTACACCTTCACAATTCGATAAGACAGTTCTGAGCAAGTGTTTGTGTGTGTGGATGGATGTTCTTTCATGCTGAACCTCATTGCCTCAAGAACCCTTTACCCAACACATGCCGCTTACACCCAGAGCCCGTTACATTAAGAGCCCTCAGCCTTGAAATGAACCCCCAGCCAAGGACCAGAACAAGCTTGGCGAGCTGTTTAAACCATGTTTGCACCAAAAGTATTTACACCAAGCTCTTTACACAAGCAGCAGTTTGTGGCGGCTGGTGACTGAAGTGAAACACTGCAAGATAGCCGTTCTGCTGGGACGCTAGGACTGCACGGTACGACATTGCGAATAAAACAAGAGGTCTCTGGGGTGCTCTGCTGAGTTGTCACGGACTGGAACTTCTCTTGACCTGCCGTGTCCTGAGCGGAGGCAAAGACCATTGAGGTTTCAATACTCATATCATATTAAAACATTCCAAGCCTACAGCATAGTCTAGTTATATTAACTTACACAATTGTAAAATTAGTGGCTGCACCAGACTATGCTCATCAACTGTCATTCACACAAGGATCCAGGCTTCTTTGCGCTTGATCAATCCATACAAACAAAAAGGGATTCACACTGAAGTCCTCAGAAAAAGTCACGAGGCAAATGTTCTGTCGTCAAATTGGTTCTTTAAGCTAGTTCTAGATACAAATGCCAAATTTCTGAGAAATTGGTGGGCTGCCCTCTCCATGGCTCAGTGTCTGAGAATCGGACCCAGATTTGCAAGGGGTACTGCTGGTTCATCACAGGATCCCAGAGAGTCCTCAGGGCAGCATTTCCTGAAAGTCAAAGAAACAAAGAAACTCTCAGATACTGCCCACTCGTTCGGCGTCTGACACTTTCAAATCAAGAAGCAACATCTAACAGTCCAACATCAATTCAATGGCACTGCAGGGATGCAACGCCAGTGAAGCTCAAACACACCGACCAGAAGCCAAATCACGCGGATACCCCTAAGACAGCTTCCTCTCCACCACTCCAATGTCTTAGTCCGACTTGATTGCCTACTTTCCCGAAAACTATCGTCGTACAAAAGAAGTGTGTTCCATGTCGGTGCATCTCTGTTAAAATATATGAATGGGATATGCGCAGGGCAGGTGCCATGTCAGTGCACATCAGGCCTGGTGAATTTGGCAATTGATGGACACTTTTCATATTAAAGTACAACCTCGCATGTTGCCATTGAGGTCTCAGTTAAAACTTCCATGTGAGCCAGCATTGTTTTCCAATGGCGCTTGACACGGCGATTTCAACGGATTTTGGGCATCCTAGTTTTGCTTTACACCGTGTAAAGGAGAAAATGTGCCATTTGGACATGTTTGGGTTGAATTTAGACTGGTGGCCCTATTTTGTCACTCTGTGTGCTCCCTCCGGGTCAGTCTCTCCTCCACCAACCCCGCTGTGTCCCCCCGGGTGTGTTCGTCGAACACAGAACGGAAACAACATGGAACCCAACCAGTGTTGGAGCACCAGCTCCGGAAAGTTCATCATAAGAGTGACATTTGTCTTTCTTTTGCTCCTTGTTTTTTTCCGTCTCCTTCTTAGTCTGCTGAGTCTTGTTGTTGTTTCCTGTTGTTTTTTTCCTTTCTTTGCTGTCACATGTTCTGCCCATTGCGGTTTATTTTGGAAGGTTGCGCGCGACGAACATGGAACCCAATACATAGCAAAAAATATGTGCCAACACCAACACGACCTTTTCTTGGAGGTGCCTTGGTTTCAGTTCTTACCCCGCCACTCACCTGGAACCAACACGGAACCCAACATGGTCCCCGCCCTCTCCCCCAGTTGTGGTACACTTAGTACAAGGTGCAATTCCCGCAAAACCCAACACGGAAGCCAACCCGGCCTTCCAAAATCTGTCCAAAAATCAAAAGGAATTCCCCTGGGGGGAGGGGGTGGGTCCCTTGCAGAGATTTTAGGGGAATGTTTGGAATCATA